ATGACTTCCAAAACATCCTTCTCGTCATTATGGTGAGCAAACTAAATCTGTCTTTTGTGGGCTTTTTGAATGCTAAAGACTCTGTATGGTCTGTAAAGATAGGTGAGGTGTCATTATGGAGTGATTGACAGTGACATTTTGACAAATGTACAAAAGGAAAGCACTTATTGGGTCCATTACATAACACATTTGCATAATACAAGTTCCATTTTTGCTGACCATCTGAATAGACTAGTGTTTCCAGTAATGTATTACGCCTTAACCAACCCACAACTCACGGCTTTACTCATAAAATGCTCCAGTATCACAGACAAGTTGTCAGTATCCAGAGTATTGACAACTAGATTATTGTTCAAGGAAGAAAAAGGTTGTTCATCTAGTTTCAAAGAACAAGAATGTCTTGTTCATTTGTTTTTGTCCTTGAGATCAGAGTGTTCAAACCACAGATTCCTTTAAGAATTCATGTTCAATAAGAGAGTATTATTGTAGTCATGTAAAACCCGGTCTGCTGACTTTTTTTCAGACTACAATAACCCTCGTTCAGGGAGCTGAATGCATGAATGTAACGTTTTCAGGCATTGTCTTAGATATGACACAAAACATTCCAGTATTGTTGTCAGAAAGGTGTGTTAGGTAGCATTCTTACTGCTGGGAACCTGTGTGAACACATAGATAGATAAATTCATTGCCAGAAACCTAATCTTAGCTAATGCCTTGTTCACGCACATTATCAGTCACGAAAACCATCTTGCAGTGCATTGCTTTTACTGTATTACAAACTGATATCTCTGTCGGCATAGATCATCAAAATGTTTAATATTTGAAAAATGTTTGTCTTCCAAATCATCATCATGTGGTGTGACCAACATATACACAAAAACTAAAACTTTTTTTCATCCTGCACACTTTTACAGTAGTTGTCTTTGAGCTAATTCTATTTAAATTTTCTCTATTTCAGCTCTCCGCCACACTTGCCATCCCATTTTGGCAATGGTTCCTCACAAAATTTGGCAAGAAGACCGCTGTGTATATTGGGACTACAGTAAGTACTGGCAGCGGCACATAAACCTTCATTGAATTACACTAACTGACCAACAGCGGCTGCTTCTGGTCTGTCATCTACTGTAATTGATGCTTTGGTTCCTGTTACTGATGGTTTATATTCTCTATGCAGTCTGTGGTGCCTTTCCTGGTCTCCGTCGTCTTTGTGCCCAGCAATCTTATTGTGACGTACGTCGTGTCCTTTGCCGCTGGAGTCAGCGTTGCAGCGGCCTTCCTCCTGCCATGGTAAGTACCTGAGAATTGTACAAATGCGTGTGCACTTACAGATTTGGTGCACTTTATTCATGGAGTGTGCTTTCCTATATGCTCAGGTCCATGCTTCCCGACGCCGTGGATGATTTTAAAGTCCAAAATCCTGAATCTCAGGGCCATGAAGCCATCTTCTACTCCTTCTATGTGTTCTTCACCAAGTTTGCATCTGGAGTTTCCTTGGGGGTCTCAACTCTTAGTCTTGAGTAAGTTTCACAGCCTTGTACATGAAATACTGGCTTTTAAATGGGATTATAGTGTTCATGATCCACTAAGCCCAGCTTTTTGTTTTACTGTATGAGAATCAGTCTGGCCTCCTGACATTCAGATTTAATGCGATTAGAGTTTGGAGACATGACCATATAGGATCGTGTTTTACTGTGAGATTCAGTGATCAGTCATGAGGATGGATTTATCTGGATGAACATGAATAAGAGATTAAATCTCTCGTTTCTTCTCTTTCAAACAGTTTTGCCGGCTATGTGACGAGAGGTTGCACGCAACCCGCCGAAGTCGATTTAACATTGAAGATCCTGGTGTCTGCTGCTCCGATAGTCTTGATCATTATCGGGCTGCTAATATTCATCTCGTATCCAATCAACGAGGAAAAGAGACAAGGCAACCGCAAAATACTTAATGAACAACGGTAAAGCCACCTATTGATTTGAAGTCTTTCAGTCACATGTTTTGCTTAAAGACGTTAATCCTGCTCAACATTCTCGAAATCTATAAATTAACATGGTACTTTTAAACCTCTAAATCTAATTAAATGGCATTCTTTAAATTATTTTGCCTGTGTCCTTACTGTGTCCTGTGTTTTTTTTTTTCTTCAGAGAAAATGAGATCGACTCCGAAACAGACTCCACTGAGCTCAATGTGGTTTAATAGCACCAGAACACTAGACAGAACATCGTGCCAATTGCGTCGGACCAACAGAGCCAAAACAAACTGAGTGGATGCTTTGAACCAACCATGCTGCCTTGTGGCTGAAAACTTCCACCCATATCACCCCTACACAACCACAAATCAACTTGAAACATAGCCTTTTTCCAGCTCAATTTCAAAGTGCCTTGCCATTTCCAGTTGCAAGTGCTAATGGCTTAAACCTCTAAATCTGATTAAATGGCATTCTTTAAATTATTTTGCCTGTGTCCTTACTGTGTCCTGTGTTTTTTTTTTCTTCAGAGAAAATGAGATCGACTCCGAAACAGACTCCACTGAGCTCAATGTGGTTTAATAGCACCAGAACACTAGACAGAACATCGTGCCAATTGCGTCGGACCAACAGAGCCAAAACAAACTGAGTGGATGCTTTGAACCAACCATGCTGCCTTGTGGCTGAAAACTTCCACCCATATCACCCCTACACAACCACAAATCAACTTGAAACATAGCCTTTTTCCAGCTCAATTTCAAAGTGCCTTGCCATTTCCAGTTGCAAGTGCTTATGGACGCTAGAAACGTTTCCCTGAGTTGCACAAGGCTTGTGTGTGTCGCCAGTATTTGTGCTGCTCGCTGGCATAGGATCTCAAAGCAGTGTCCAAAAAAAGCCAGCTTTTGATAAGCACACATCTAGACTGCACTAAAAAATGATCTGAGGTGGGACATGTCTACCGTAAGAAGAAACCTGAAACATTTAAAAAAGGTTTTTAGGTGCTACAACCAAAAATGCATTTTAATCGTGATTGAAAGGTACATTTTGGGAGGAATATCTGTGAAACTGTACACAACTAAGTAATATTTGTATGTAATTTAATATTTATAAATGCTTTTGTGCATCTAACTGGATAAGCAAACTTGAAACATTGAGACCAGAGTGGGGTTTGATTACATCAAACTTCAGTATTGTGCACAGAAGGTTATTGTTTAGTTCTTGTATTACTTTCCTTCACATACCCCTTCTATTGCGTTCCTTTTCATCTGCTTCTGCTCTCTTGGGGCAAACAAACAGAGCTCGTTTAGAGGGATGCACTGAGGGATAAACTTACAAATTTGGTCCCTCAACACCTTCAGATGATATGCTTCAGATCAGAGGATCTTATTCGATTAAGTTCTGGATGGGTTCACTGAAGTGTGGATGAAAGTGCTGCTGACAACCGAAGACTAGCAGGATGCCATTAGACTATGTGGGGTTAAAATGTACGATCAATTGCTTATTTTGTGAGGTGAACAAGGTTAAGTATTTATTACTTTTGTTTTAGATCATATGTTGATTTGATTATGTCGGTTTCTCCCATCTTCCTTCATTTGTCTTGTTTAAGGGCCTCAGTCGCATGAAATAAGGGCAATTCGAGCTGTCACTGCTGAATTATGTCTAATAGCCTATGCCATTAATTCCTATGGAAAAGCCAATCAGTGTGTTTATAGGTGACACTGCTGTTTAGGTGTCCGTATTGTAGTTGTCTCAAAAGTGCTTTTATTGTTGTATAGTTCTCTGCCTGTAACTTCTGTGTGTCAAAGATCTGAATGCCAAGTGTTTCTCTACCATCTGTAAGTGCTGTGATATATGTACATAGACCATCTGAAAATATTAAGTCATATATTTTATTTTCTATTTGGGGAAAATGGAATGGCTTGTAAATAATATTTGTGTAAATGTCTTATTTTGTACATATGATGCGCATTGAAATCTCATCAGTGCATGTTTGGAGTTCATACAGTTTTCTAACACGTGTCAATTTTGTATTGATGCATCTGTGACTT